TGAAGCCATGAACTGCCTCCTCGTTCAATTAGCGCGAGTCCTTGCTGCAATAGAGTCTGCCTTTCCCTTCAAAGCTGCCATCTGGGCCTCAGCAGAACGGAGCTCCTCATCTATTATCTGGAATCAGATACCATTCGATCTTCCAACTGATCAAACTTTACTCATGTACTTGCTCGCGCTCACGCCGCTGTGCTGCCGCTTCATCCATTTGTCTAATCTTCTCTCTTAAGACCGCTAGCTTCGCTTCTCGCTGCCAAGTTTCTTCATCGCCGGATGGCACCACAGTGGCCGCTAAAATATCATATCCGCTGGACACCCCTCAGCAGCAACAGAGGCGATCGAGTGTGATTTGAATCGCGGGTCACGGAAGTCAAGGAAATAGGTGACGGCCAGCAATTCAATCAGTCCTACCCGATGGGTTGCTTGAGAAAGTCTTCTCTGCCAGTGCTGCATCCAACTCCTTGATCTTCTGGAATACTCCCAGTTTGATGAGGTGAGAGAGTACTCCATTGCAGACTTTGGTGTAGAACCTGCCGTTCACAACATACGATTCCTCCCTGAAGAATCGATCCTCACTTTTGCCTAATTCGCAAGTCCGTTTCATGGTCAAGCGGCCATGAATGTGGATCGTAGGTGAGAACCTGAAACGGGTAAAATCGTATACCGTCGCTGAGCGTCACACAGGGGGTCGGATACAGACTCTCGTACGTCTTGGCAGGACTCGATCTGATCCATGAGCCACTCGGTTAATAACATTTCTCGACCCACCACTCCTGGATGGTTTGTTGTATCCCGGTTCTCAGTCATCGCCAGGATAAAGACTACTACCCAACCGAAACGTACTCAAACACAGTATTGCGTTATGTTAGCATCAAAGCCATCCAGGACGGGCCTCAGCATGTGAAGCGCTCCGAACGCCGATTATAAGAAATTCCCCGGGAAGCTCGTAGCATACTTCGCTGATCGACCGCCTCACAATCCCACTAAAAACCTGGACCGGCGAAAACTGCTCAGTCGAGGGGCAAGCACAGAACTGCACCGTGCAACACCTTGTGGAGTTGAACGCGGGAAGTGTGAGGATGATGAAAGTGATCGATAGTACTGCATGCATGGGGACGTGCCTCCCAATTGACAGTGACGATGATATCTAGCCTTTTCAAGGAGGACAGCAGCCGTTGCGTCGATGACGAGTTCAAATGACCTTGGCCTGTACAGGGTCGCTGAACACGCACAATGGTCACCCTCACCTCCGACTGCAAATCGGTCATGACGATCAGTTGCATTCCGTAGAGCCGTGTTAACAAGACACTTACTTATCTTTGGTTCCATCGTTCTCGTTATGCCGCTCATTATGGTGCTTAAGTTTCTTCTCGAATACATTCAATCGCACAGACTCGTCCTTTTCCAGCGCCTGACGGAGAACGCTTCTCTTCAACATACTGGGAGACACGAAACCAGAGGGGAACGCAAGTTTACGATCGCCGTAAAGCAATCGAGTTCGTGCCTCGGCGAGCTGGTTCAATTCATCAGCAGCTTGGGCTTCAAGCTTGAGCTGTTCCAACTCCATCATCATCTCGAGGAACTGCTCCAGATTCTTACGGGCCGCGCTGAAGCACTTAGCAGTTCTCGCGCAGGAGAAAAGTCGAAGCCCACATTCCAGAGTTTCCAGCGAGGTCACTGCTGCTGTTATCTTCGTCGCACTCGTAGTTATCTATCTCTTCTTCCTCGCTGCTATTCTCCTCACATTCATCATATTCGTCATCATCATCATCATCATTATCTTCTTCTTTGTCCTTGTCTTCATTTTCGTCTTCGTCGTCGTCTTCATCTTCTTCTTCACTAGCATCCCCATATTCATCATCATCTTCATCTCCTCCACCAGCCTCCAGATTGGCCATCTCTTCACGAATGAAGGTTGCCTGAGCAAGTCTCATTTACAACAACGCATTATCCTTTCTCACTACGTCGGCTTCTGCTTGAGCTCTCTCGACTCTTGTCTGTAATCTAGTCAACTCTTCTTCGAAAAAGCGAGCCTGACGAGCTCAATCTCCAGGGGAAATGCAGGATGTTCTTCCGAGAGAAGACTACAACTCAGTCAGTGGCGAGGAATCCCGGATAGCGAAAGGAGATAGGACTCACATCATCGTCAACGAGTCTGAGATCCAGCTCGAGCTGCTCCTTCTCGTTTTGAAGCTGAAAAGAGTCTACTTCTACTCTCCGCCATTGTTCCCAAATAACCCCACTTGTCTGAGGGAAATCTCCTTGTCCAACAATTCCTCTCTTAAGGAATGGACTAGCCTCTTGGCTTCAGCGATGAGGCCACTCCTGCTGCGATTGAGGTCGCGAAGTGTATCAATCTCAACTAGGAGTGGAGCCAAACGGCATCGAGTCTCTGCCCAGATAAAGGCTAGCTCACGCTTGATGCAATTATATCGCTCCTCGCTAAGGCGGGCTTCTTGAAGAAGCTCTTTCAGCTCAGAATTCAGCTCATTAACGGCGTTATCTTCGACTTCCTGATTCATCTTAGACATCCTGAAGATGTGAAGAACCTCTGGAGAATTCGACAGGGTCTCCAACCACCTCTCGGGAGCGACCTCCTTGCACCCTGGCTTCATCGACGGAACGGCGGACGTGCGCCTGCCTGAGAGCAATTCCGATTTGACTTCAATCAGTACATCGCGGTGGGCATACCATTGATCACTGCAGCATTTATCCTCTTCGCTTCAGTCTCAGTTGCCGGCTCCGCCACAGAAGATGTAGTCGGAGGCTTAGAGGCCTCGGTCTTGGCATCGGTTTGATCGGAAAGTCCTCGATCTAAACGCGACAGATGTAACGAAAACCACAGTGGAAGTGGAAGCGAAGTGCAAGCTGTATCCGCCTTGGTGATGGGCATTAGCGTGAGAGTGACGGATCGAGTATCCCGTCCCTTGCTCTTCACTTCTTTGAGATTCTGCGCCATGATTCTCGATCACGGTGGTCACAGACTGCTCCGATTCCACACGAGTGGCTGCCCTAGAAGGAAGGTATGTCGTAAATGGGGTACGGGGGATGACCAGCGATGGAGCTGGAAACACTAAAAGACGGCGAACACTATGAGTAGGAGACTGAAAATTGTAATCCTCACATGATGGCCAGAATACAGAAGGCTCCGAGCCAGAAACAGCTGTGGGCGGTATCGAGCCGCTCATCACAGGGGGATACTGCAGAGAAGGCGGAGGGAACATGACTGGGACTGGCCGAGTTAACTGAAGGCCGCAAGAACCTGGGTACCAGACACAGTGAAAAACTAGTGAAATAACCCGCAGTCACTACAGAGAGACCTCGTCTCACCAACACTGGATTGAAATCTTCGAGACTCGTGCAATCAATGAGAAATCGAGGGGTGTATCAAGAATCACGGGAAGATTAATCGCCTCGCATTAGCTACAACAGATTTCAAACTCGCCATGTACCAGATATGATTCCCACCAGTCACTATTTGTCCGAACGTAAGCAGATATCGGACGGCATAAGATGATATCACAACTACGAGGCAGCATGACAACCAAAACTCCAAGCGGGAATCCGAACGGAAGTACTGAATTTCTATCCAAATCCCACATGCATCTAAGACTGTTAGGATCAGACAGAGTTAAAATGAAATTTCTGCGCGATTGGGAGAGTGAGGCACACGGAGCCAGCACTGATTGATACGGATCAAAACTTGAGGATTCTAACCTCAAGGGGGAATGCTACAAACTTACAGCTCCTCAACCGGTGAGTGGAAGAATCTTACCTAAGTCTTCAAGTATCTTCGCGTCCAGCGTTGGAGAAGAGGAGAGGCAAATAGGCCCATAGTGCTAGACGACGGTATGTGAGAAAATCTTGAAACCTCCTCTGAGCATGCTGCGATACTGACGTTCGCTCGCCCGTACGAGAAACGCATTCTATGATGTGAGGATGATTATAACCGACTTATCGAGCTAGGAACCGGACACGACCTGATATAGAAGGCCTCAAGATATGGAGCTGTCATTGGCGATGCAGACCACGAATCAATGGTCAGCGGAGAACTCGGGATCACGGAGATGGGCGAGCGGCATCTGATGCCTAACATCCGGGCCTGAGATGAATCATCAGTGCAAGGACCTTGCGGCATAGTCGCCCCACTTATGCTTGCAGAGTGAGAGGCGTTTGGCGATGAACAGCAGAAGAGGAATGGTTGGCATAACGGCCCCACTCCCTGCATTTATACGGTGCCCCAGCTGACTGTCGAACAGGGTCGAGATGAAAAAGAATAATTCAGTACTCATACGCAACAGCAAGATCTCATTTTGGCATAGCTGCCCCACTCATCCAGCTGAAGAATTCGTCTCTCATGACAAAACGAGACTTGAGACTTTGGCATAGTCGTCCCACGTTTCCGATTCGAACACTGAGTGTCACCATTTACGATGCTGGACGGGAACCTCTGGCATAGTCGCCCCAATCTTCACCCCAGAGCAGGAAAATTTATGAAGAAACTTTAGAAAATTTCGGAAATATTTTTCCGCTGTAAAAACGATATTCTGCACTGAAATAAAAGTTTCTCCTTCCAGGGCACAATTTCCAACAAGCTGAATGTATATTTCGCAAGCAGTGGGAAACGACCAATGCAACACAGCTCTCCCCGAAAACAACTAACCATGAAGTGAGGGAAACTCTTTACTGATTGTGTATCAAATAAATTAGTTATGGGAGCCAGCCGATCTCGCAAAGAACGTCTCTAAAACGCTCCGATGCTGACGCGTCCAGATCATAGCTCGGTGAGTCAGCGTCAGGCTGCTCTACATATTGCTCATCACAGCTGAGCCAGTCGAACCAGAATCGGCGAGCTTCAGCGGTGGAACTTTTAAGATTGATGCTGTTAAGTGTACCGGCTGCAACACCCACCACTCCGCCGCATACCGCTCCTGCAGCACTCATACCACCAGTGACGGCAAGTCCGATGGTGGCCTGACCCCAGCCCAACTGGCAAAGGCCGGAATATAATATCAATGATAGAGGACCGGTAACACTCGCAACGGACACAGTCAAATGACAGAGCAGCTGCCCCAACAAAAGCTCCAAACCAGGCCCCGACCGTCCCTA